TTTGTTGAATGTTTGTCTGTGATTTGTGCATATCGAGATCCTCGTGGGTTCCAACACACCGAGATCCCGAGCATTGGCCCGGCGGAACTAAATTCCGTATGAGGCCACATGAGCACTCGCCCGACATTCCGCTGGGCGGACCGACATTTCGCCTAAGAAGCTAGCACTGATTTCGCCGGGCGGAACTTGGTTGAGTTGTGCTCGAGGCCAAGAGAAGAAATCACTCGCCCGAGTTTCGCCTGGTAGAATTTAGGCGAGTTGCTTAGGAGATTTTACACTCGCCCGAGTTTCGCCGGGCGGAATTTGGGCGAGTGTGTTTACTAAATGTGTCTGTTTTGTGCGTGTTTTTGCTACTTAGTACAAATACATTTAGTCCTTTGTATTTTGGGATCTGTCTTTCATTTTTCTACTTTCCCACTTTGAAAAAAGTTTTATTTGTTAGTGTTATATACTGAAAGCTTAGCTTTGGATGATATTACATTTTTACCCTTTTATAAATGAGAAATATGTTAAATTAAACAAGTTCGACGTTCTGTTGTTTTGCATTAGATAGTGTGGGCCGTCATTGGGCGAACTGAAAATCATGCTATCAGTTACTCGCGAAACAAGAATAATGGTTCACAACCTAGATGGACATGAACACCCCATCAGAAAGGTTATAGTGTCAACTGTACAGTTTGTCTTGGCTGATTAGTTGCACTAGTACATTTATATATTGTACAGGATCCCAGAGAGGAGCAATTCGTTTTATAATGATCGTCGTAAATGAACTAGGCCTCGGTTAATTACTGCGTACTCTTAACTCGTAAGATATTAAACATGCAAATATGTGTAGTATCTATTACTTTGATTCACATGGATGAGGCTTAGTGAATTGGGCCAATAGACCCTCTGTCTTGGGTATTATTGCTACATGTATGATGTGCTGGGATATTTACGGTCACCATGTGCGTTAGTTTGATGATGTCCCCAGAGTGAGTTCATGAAAGATTGTTATGCTAAAATTTCCCGCATAGTAAGAATGTAATGAACGAGCGTTAGCTTCGGTGAAATAATAATAAATTAATTAATCCTTGATTTTCAGTGATTGAATTAATTAATGGACAATATATCTTAAACATGTGGAGATAAATCGATTCATTATTATTGGAGTCCCAATTGTAATTTGAGCTAGAAAAAGAGAGTGCAATAATATCATGTTGGTGAATCATTTAATATTATTAAATTAATTAGAATAAGCGGGCTGACCCATGAATATTTAATTAATTAAAGAGCTATTCTCATAATATCCTAAGGGTATTGTAGCTCTATATATACATCATTAAGCTTATAGGAAGAGAGAAGACATCTCATAATTCACGCCCCCATATGCACGCCTCTCTCTCTCTCTCTCTCTCTCTCTCTCTCTCTCTCTCTCTCAGTTCCCATTCGAGCTTTGTCTTCTTCTTGTTGCTCCACTGGTACAAATTGAAGAAGGGTGTATTGAGTAATACAATAGAAGATCTGTAGGTAAATCGAGACGAAATATATTTTAATGATAAAAAAAATATTTTTTGTTATTTTTTTATCATTAAATTTTCCGAAAAAGAATTGAAAAGAAAGAGGATCGTGTGATGTTCAAAAGCATAGTTCAAATGATTTGAATTTGAGCTAGAAAAAAAAGAGTGCAATAATATCATCTTGGTGAATCATTTAATATTATTAAATTAATTAGAATAAGTGGGCTGACCCATGAATATTTAATTAATTAAAGAGCTATTCTCCTAATATCCTAAGGGTACTGTAGCTCTATATATACATCATTAAGCTCATGGGAAGAGAGAAGCCATCTCATAATTCACGCCCCCATATGCACGTCTCTCTCTCTCGCTCTCTCTCTCTCTCTCTCTCTCTCTCTCTCTCTCTCTCTCTCTCTCTCTCAGTTCCCATTCGAGCTTTGTCTTCTTCTTGTTGCTCCACTGGTACAAATTGTAGAAGGGTGTATTGAGTAATACAATAGAAGATCTGTAGGTAAATCGAGACGAAATATATTTTATCGTACAGAACTAACCGGAGGTCCGATCAAGGCGTGCAGCATACCCAGACGAATGTCTCGACGAGATCTTCCATCGCCGCCAAGATCGTCGTCGTACGACGCCACACGCACCCTCACTGGTTTGATCCGTTTTTCAATCTGATCTTGTTCGTGCAACCCTAAGACGTGATTTGCAGTAAACCGTTCGTGTGATCTGATTCATTGGTGTGTTGTGTACGGTCATCCAGAAGATCAGCCAGATCGCCATAAATCTTAAGCCTTAAGTTCTCTACGCATACCTTTAGATCCGCTGCGCATAGGTTTACATTTTGCTATTGAATTCGTGATTTATACATAACGAGATCCTCATAGATCGCAACATTATTTTCCTATTTTGCTCTCTATTTCTCCCCTTGGAGATTTATGTCATCATTTTCCGGCAACTTTTCTGGTGTTTTCGTTTTTGTCCAAGTTCCGAACTTTTGAATCCGATTTTCATATACTACACAGTAGAAGATTAGGTATTTACTTTTATAGCTCATTACTTCAATTTTTGCCTCGTTTTACTTATGATGCTTATCAAGGTGAATGTGAGTATTGTTGGATGATGGATGGAAAGTTTAGACTTGATTGTTTTTATTGCTTGCTTGAGTGATTTTAGGGATTAATTGCTTGCCTATCTAGATTAAGGGTTGGGATTCTATTTAGAGCTTAATCACTTAAGGTTAGAAGGTTAGGGTTAATTACCTGGTGCTTATAGTTTGCATATTTCTCTTTGTTATTTATTTTCCTTTTTATTGTGTCAATGATATAGAGACTCCGATAGTTTAATTTCGATATACGCTCGTTTTTACTAGTTAATTACAATTGCTCGTAATTCTTCACTTGATTAGTGTTAATTCAAACCCGAACTCATTGATTAGAATGTCTAGGTCTTTGTTTTCCTATTTTTGTGTGTTTTGGACAATCGAGTAGTAGATAAAGCTTCGAATAGCCTTCCTTAGAGAACAACTCGAGGTCGGGTAGTTCGGTTACCATCTACCCCATAAAATACTTCTAAACATCGAACTAGCGGACAACAAGGAACACAATTTTCCCTTTTGAGGGGTTGTTTTCCGGATGATCGGTCTGGTGGCTAGACGGGTTTGGAGTGTGCAGAGGTTGCCTTCTTCGCCAATGCGGAAGTATATTCGACCTCCACAGTTTGGCCTTTTGAGGGGCTGTCTTCGGGATTGGATCGACCCCCTTGATAGTGAGGGCAGCACCCCTGTTGGCCGAGGTGTTCTTTCTGGAGCTCATGGAACTCTTTGCAAAAGTTTGAGGTAAAAGGTTAGTTACAATAATCGTAATACATCATGGGGTTGGTAGGCCGAACATACAGAGCTCACGCTCCTCTCTGATTTGGAGTACTCCAAGTTTATGCTCAGCTGGTGGAGACTGAGGTCGAAGGGTGAACAGGCACTACGAAGGACCATGATCCTCTTACTGGAAAAAAAAGGTTTCAGATGTGACCTTGTGCGCATTCCGCGATGTTATACGCAGGTCTAAGAGGGGGTTGCAAGGTGGATTTTGGGTTTTGAAGGGAATGACCTTAAGCCACGGGGTCGAGTCCTCGGGAAAATGTTAGAGTAGAATACCCTGCGTTCCAATCAGATTGGATTTATTCTACTTGATTATATAATCTAATGATATTTGTATATTGTATGAGGCATTAATTTATCTTATGTATAAGCATTTTATATTATATTTGTACATATGATAAAATCCTTAGATCATAATAAGCTACAAATACATGGTTACGCATAGAGATGGTAATCATGGAACATGTCTTTAAAGCTGTGATCTTAAATAAAGTTCCAAGCCATTGGGTATTTCGAGATAGGATATCGAATAACCTGGTAAGACTTGCACATATGATATATGCTTATCGGATAAGAATGTTGCATTCCATCAACATTAGCATGTGATGCAAGTATATATATATGGGTGCTTGTTAAGGAACAAGTTCTTTGAACATGACCGTATGAAAATTCTTAAATGAAAGTTTCTCTTGTCGAATAAGAATTTTCATGTTACAATAGTACATGATTGATCCTTAGACTTGAGGCACAATGATAATCTTGTGCATATTGTAATTTACTTTGATTTATCCTTTGATTGCAAAGACAATCAATAAAGGGATATTTTGGGTATTGTATTAATATGTATAAAGATTTGTTAGTGGCCAACAGAGGATATGACAACACTTATGAGATAAGTGAATTTACTATGTTATTCAGAGTTTGTGATTCGAAGTCCTTGGCCAAGGCAGTATGAATGGAGATTCATAAGGGAATCACGAAACTTGAAATGAAATCATAGTTATTAAATCAATATGGGTTTCGACTAAAAACCATACCCATGATTTAATCGGGAAATTAGTTATCAAAAGGATTTTACATGTATGTAATTGTAATTGAAAAGGTTTACCCGCTATTCACTTAATACTAGGTGATCATGCTACTTGCTAGGTGTTCCCATGATTTGTGGGTTCTTGAAATTAAAGGGATATTTTCAAGAATAAGAATTAATATGATTAATTCAAATTACAAGTAAGTTGTAAACCAACTACTAGTATTAATAGTGAACCTAAAAGGTCACACCAATTTTTGAATGAAAACAAGTTAAAGTGATATTTCTAAAGAGTTATAATTAATTGATAATGATTAATTAAATAATATGAATATTTGATTAATTATCTAATTATGAATTAGATGTCAATTAAAGGAATATTATAAATTAATCAATTGGATTGATTAATTGGATTTTGGATATTATTAAGTAATTAATGTAATTACTAAATTAATAGTTGAATTTTAAAATATGATTTTAAAAATCAAATCCAAAATAATAATATTATTATTATAAAGAGGATAATAATATATAATTGGGAGAAAAGATTATTTTAATAAAATCTTGAAAAATATTTTCAAGAATTATTATTTTATTAATTTATCTTTAATATGATTAAAGATTAAAATAATGAAAAGACAAAATAATGGTGGTTGATGGTGGTTATGAACCACTTCACATAATTATTAAAGTCAATATTTGGTAAGATTATTTAAATAAAATCTGATTTTAATTAAAATAA